AGCTGCATTTTCCTCTCCCACAGCCTGTCACCATGCTGCTGAGCATGGGGGACCTTCATGCCAAAGAGAAATTTTCATAGACAGGGGACAAGTTTCCCTACTATAATACAGGGCCAATTTACAGTTTGGCAGGCTGGTCAAACTAATTTTTTCCTCAAACACAGCACACTGCTGACAGGACAAAGAAATTTCTTTTCTTATTTATTTAAGTGTTCACGACATATTTTAATATGTCTGATTTTTTAATGCTATATGCAAACTTACAAATTGCACAAACCTCAGTAAACTTTTGAACATCTATAAATCTAATAAATCAAGATGTACAAATCCAGTAAGCTAGCCTCTCCTAAGACTTTCAAACAGTACAATGATTACAAAGTTTATTTCTACACCTCTTCTATGTCTAGCAAAAGGTATCCATTAATATCACAGATTTAACTTATTTTATCTTTGTTATATTTTCCTATTCCTTTACTAAGGTAATAGTAATGCTTACTTTAATAGTTTCCTATAGGGAAAATTAATCTTATGGGGTTAAATCCTGTAATGGGGTTAAATCTCTTTCAATAAAAACAAGGTGGGCCTCCCCGGTTCATGGTCTTTGTACATCACAGCTGTTCTGAGCACAGGGCTCGCACTCTTTGAAGCCCAGTATATTTGACTAGTTAGGGCAGCTTTCAGCTTCAATCCCACCTTCACTGGGATTTTATAAGGCCTCAACCAAACACCAAATTTCAGTTTCCTGCAGCCTGATATCCTTCCTTAAAATGAAGCATTGCATTTTCCTCTGAGTTGCATAGGTCAGTGTTGTATGGTATAACTTGGTCTTATTGTTTAATGTTTAGGCCTTTTAGTTGGTTTGTACAACTACGATGTTTGTTAGCCCAGGAAGCTACAATAACGAAACTTTTTACACAGCAATCACAGACACAGTGCAAACATTACTAAATTCTTTTGTGCCTTTTTTTTTTTTTTTTTTTTTTTTTTGAGATGGAGTTTCGCTCTTGTTACCCAGGCTGGAGTGCAATGGCGCCATCTCGGCTCACCGCAACCTCCGCCTCCTGGGTTCAGGCAATTCTCCTGCCTCAGCCTCCTGAGTAGCTGGGATTACAGGCACGCGCCACCACGCCCAGCTAATTTTTTGTATTTTTAGTAGAGACGGGGTTTCACCATGTTGACCAGGATGGTCTCGATCTCTTGACCTCGTGATCCACCCGCCTGGGCCTCCCAAAGTGCTGGGATTACAGGCGTGAGCCACCGCGCCCGGCCTCTTTTGTGCCTTTTTAAAGCTCATCTTGTCTGCCTCCTCTGAACTTATGAGCTTGGGCTTTTTACAAACAACGTATTTCAATTAACTGGTGTTTGTTTTCTTCTTGTTCTAATGTCCTAACTTGGCTAGTGGGAATCTTTACTTACTTCATCTCCAAACATGCTTGCGTTATATGCAGGGGTCCCTAGCAGGTCCATCCGTGGTCTGTTAGGAACAGGTGAGCAGCAGGTGAGCGAGCATTATTACCACCTGAGCTCCACCTCCTGGTGGCAGCATTCGATTCTCCTAGGAGCATGAACCCTCTTGTGAACTGTGCATGTGAGTGATCTAGGTTGCATGCTTGTTATGAGAATCTAATGCCTGATGATCTGAGGTGGAACAGTTTCATCTTGAAACATACCCTCCACCCCATCAGTGGAGAAATTGTCCTCCACGAAATAGTCTGCTCCCTGGTGCCAAAAAGTTGGGGACCATTGCTTTAAAAAAACAGCAAAGTCTTACCAAACCATTTCAGGTTTTTCTAGTCCAAAGACTAGATACTACAGGTGCACACCACCATACCCAGTTAATTTTTTATTTTCTGTAGAGATAGGATCTCACTCCGTGGCCCGGGCTGGTCCCAAACACCTGGCCTCAAGCTGTCTTCCCACTTGGCTCCCAAAGTGCTGGGATTACAGGCATGAGCCACCATGCCTAGCTTGGGAAAAATTTTAAGGCACTTGCTGACTTCCTCCAGATTGGCTCTCTGTTCTCTTTCTCTGTCAAGTACAAAATTCTTGGACTGACCTCATCTGGGACTTCCCACCTTTCTCCATGCTATGACACACACAGAAAATGATATTAGTATGGCACTTTGGGGCCAGGCTACTTACCCCAGAGGTGACCAGCACAGAGCTCCAGCCACCCAGACTCCCCAAGTTAAAGGGAACAGCTAACCCGCCTGGGGCACAACATCTGCACAGAGGCTCGAAAGTTCTGCTCTGGGGCTGGGTGTGGTAGCCCACATCTGTAATCCCAGCAATTTGGGAGGCTGAGGCGGATACCTGAGGAATACCTGAGCTCAGGAGTTTGAGACCAGCCTGGGCAACACGGTGAAACACCATCTCTTCTAAAACACAAATAATTACCGGGGCGTAGTGGTGTGTGCCTGTAGTCCCAGCTACTCAGGAGGCTGAGGCAGAAGAATTGCTTGAACCTGGGAGGCGGAGGTTTCAGTGAGCTGAGATCTCACCACTGCACTCCAGCCTAGGTGACAGAGCAAGATTCTGTCTCAAAAAAAGAGAAAGTTTTGCTCTGTAAGATTGAAATTGGACCCCTTCTTACATACACCATCTACAAAAGTCATGTCAAGGTGGATTAAAGACTTAAATGTAAAAGCCAAAACTATAAAAATCCTGGAAGACAATCTAGGCAATACCATTCTGGACATAGGAATGGGCAAAGATTTCATGACAAAGACACCAAAAGCAATCGCAGTAAAAGTAAACATTGACAAATGGGATCTAATTAAACTTAAGAGCTTCTGCACAGCAAAAGAAACTATCAATAAACAGCCAACCTACAGAATGGAAGAAAATATTCACAAACTATCACTGACGAAGTTCAAATATCCAGCATCTACAAGGAACTTAAACAAATTTACAAGAAAACAAACAACTCCATTAAAAATTAGGCAAAGGACATGAACAGACACTTTTCAAAAGAAGACATTCATGCAGCCAACGGGCATATGAAGAAAGGCTCCATATCACTGATCATTAGAGAAATGCAAACCAAAACCACAATGAGATACCATCTCATACCAGACAGAACGACTACTATTAAAAAGTCAAAAAGGAAGAGATACTGGCAAGGTTGTGGAGAAAAGGCAACACTTATACACTGCTGGTGGAAGTGTAAAATAGTTCAACCACTGTGGAAAGCCGTGTGGCAATTCCTCAAAGAGCTAAAAACAGAACTACCATTCAATCGAGCAATCTCATTACTGAGTATACACCCAGAAGAATAGAAATCATTCTACTACAAAGAAATATGCACGTAAATGTTCACTGCCACAATATTCACAATAGCAAAGACATGGAATTAACCTAAATGCCCATGAATGACAAATGGGATAAAGAAATTGTGGTACATATACACCATGGAATACTATGCAACCATGAAAAAGAATGAGATCGTGTGTTTTGCAGGAACATGGATGGAGCTGGATACCAGTATCCTTAGCAAACTAATACAGGAAACAGAAAACCAAATACCTCATGTTCTTACTTATGAGTGCAAGCTAAATGATGAGAACATGAACACAGAGAGGGGAGCAACAAACACTGGGGCCTACCAGAGGGTAGAGGGTGGAGGGTGGAGGGTGGAGGGTGGAGGGTGGGAGGACGGAGAGAGACAGAAGAAATAGCTATTGGGTACTAGGCTTAGTACCTGGTTGATGAAATAAGCTGCACAACAAACCCCTGTGACATGATTTTACCTATGTAACAAACCTGGACATGTATCCTGAACCTAAAATGTAGGTTTAAAAGGTTAAGAAGGGGTTGGGGAGTTGGGGAGAGACAGCATGGGGAGAAATGCCAGATATAGGTGATGGGGAGGAAGGCAGCAAATCACACTGCCATGTGTGTACCTATGCAACAATCTTGCATGTTCTTCACATGTACCCCAAATGTGTACACATTTGTACCCTAATGTGTACCCTAAAATGCAATAAAAAATAAATAAAAGGTTAAAAAAAAAAGAGAAAAAATTTTAAAAAATGAATGTTCTGTTCTGACCTTATTCCCTCACTTGCATTTTCCATCATGACATTTTATTCCACTTTGCTTTCTATACTAATTCTTCAGATACCATCATTATAGTATATTGAGTCTAAAAATGCCTTGTACTGGAATTGGCCTTAACTTAAAATACTTAGTTTACATAGTCGACTATGACCAAAGTACTTTTCTCCTTCGTGGCACCACATCACAATGGATGCAATTACTCAGATAGGGTCCTGCAACGACAACACACGTCATCTATGCTGATAACAGCAGTCATTGGTGTTCATCCCAGCACACACAACAGCCCCGGCAGCACAAGGCCGGCCCAGGGCCTTAAACAAAAGGTCACTGAACACGTCAGATCTCATCTCATCAGGCCTGACCCACACCAGGAAGGACGCAGGCAGCTGCAGAGCGTATGCTTGTCATTAGGCACAAGGGCATCCCAGAAAGCAGAAGTGCCCAGGAAATGGACTCAGATGCCCACTCCCATCTGAGTATTCCTGACAGCATGTGAATATCAAATTTCTGTACCTCAGTTTTCCGAAGCCAAGCTTTAAGACAAGAAGAAGAAATTAACTTAAATGCCAATTTGTGGTTAAAGTTTCCCCCATGTCCTCTTTGCCTTGAAGACATCAAAGCTTGTAATAGTTTGCCTGTAGTGGGGAGTTAAAACACAGAGCGATAAGGAGATCTGGGCTGGTCCACACGATTGTCTCCACTGGTCTGAGCGACCTGGAAAGCGCTGCGGAATTGGCCAAGCCCCGCCCGGCCAGGTCAGTGAACACAGGCAGGGGTCGGACCGACCGCCGTTGGCACGGACCACCGCACCACGCGCCGCCTCTCTCAGCCTCCGGCCCTCCCTGGCTCCCAACGCCCGGCGCCCCAAGACTGAGTACGCGTCCTCTGGGTCGCGAGGCGGGCGGGGTATGTCACCGAGGCCGAGGGGATGCGGGGGTCACCTGTGGCCCGGGAGGCTCTGCGCCGCCCCCATCCCACGCCGGCCGCCTTGAGGCCTCAGTGGGCGCTGGCCCTGGGCGCCCGGGGTCCGGGGGTACGGGGTCAGCGGCGTCACCTGCCGAGCTGGACGCCACGTACGACTCACCGGACCGCGTCGCCGTCCTCTGCCGCTGCGGAACTCCGGAAGGGAATCCTAGCCCGGCGCTCGCCCAGGCCCCCGCCCCCCGGGACTGCTGGGGTCACAGCACCGCGCGGCCACGCCCCACTTTCGGGGCACCCGCGTCCCCCCGCGCCGTCGACCCACGCGCGTTCCAGGCCCCGCGCGCCCCTTGCTCCCCCTCCCCAGCTTTCCTGACGTGGGAGCGGCAAATCCAACCCAGCGTGCCCACCCAGACACTTACTCCAGTCGGGGAGCGGAGCGGCGGGCAGAGGCGCCGGAGCAGCCCTGGACCTCAAATACCGGCGGGGAGGTGGGCGGGGTCCCGGGAGGCGAGCCAGCACCGCCCGCCCCGAGCCCGGCGAGAGAGGCGGGGCGGGAAGTGCGGGTCCGGTAGTGCGCCCCCACCCGCCTGCCCACGGTACAGGGCGCCACCAGCGTGTTTATGGTGCCTCTGGAGAGACTGAATGTTGGCCTGTTTCCGGAAAAAAGCCGGCTCCTGGTACATGGGCATTCATTGGGCAGTGCAGAACACGCATTTAAAAATGAGCAAACTAACCCCGTCTCTACTAAAAATACAAAAGTTAGCCGGCCGTGGTGGCGCGCGCCTGTAGTCCCAGCTACTCAGGAGGCTGACAGAACAATCGCTTGAACCCGGGAGGTGGCAGAGAGCCGAGATCGCGCCACTTTTCTCCAGCCTGGGCGACAGGGCGAGACTCCATCTCAAAAAAAAAAAAAAAAAAAGCAGTCTAGAGACCAATCACAAAGACTTTGCTGATAAAACAACTTGCGGCAAAGAAGCCAGTCAGGGCCAGCCGCGGTGGCTCACACCAGTAATCCCAGCACTCTGGAAGGCCAAGGCGGGCAGATCACTTGAAGTCAGGAGTCCCAGACCAGTCTGGCCAACATAGCAAAACTCGTCTGTCCTAAAAATACAAAAATTAGCCGAATGTGGTGGCGCACGCCTGTAATCCCAGCTGCTTGGGAGGCTGAGGCAGGAGAATCACTTGAACCCAGGAGGCGGAGGTTGCAGTGTGCCGAGATCGCGCCACTGCACTCCAGCCTGGTCCGTCTCAAAAAAAAAAAAAAAAAAAGAAAAAGAAAAAAAAAGAAAGAAAGAAAGAAAAGAAAAGAAAAAAAGCAGACTTTGAGCCTTTGCGCGGCACAAAGGAACAGTCAGCAGAGTAAACAGACAACCCACAGAGTGGGAGAAGATCTTCACAGTCTATACATCCGACAAAGGACTAATATCCAGAATCTACAAGAAACTCAAACAAATAAACAAGAAAAAATCCCATCAAAAATTGCTCTGGCATGAATAGACAATTCTCAAAAGAAAATATACAAATGGCCAACAAACACGTGAAAAAACGCTTAACATCACTAATGATCAGGGAAATGCAAATCAAAACCACAACGCGATACCACCTTACTCCCGAAAGAGCGGCCATAATAAAAAAATCAAAAACTGATAGCTGTTGTTGTGGTTTCGAGAACAGGGAGCACCTCTACACTGCTGATGGGAATGCAAAATAATACAGCCACTGTGGAAAGTTGTGTGGAGATTCCTTAAAGAACTAAAAGTAGATCTACCGTTTGATCCAGCAATCCCACGACTGGGTATCTACCCAGAGGAAAAGAAGTCATGATATGAAAAAGATATTTGTACATGCATGTTTATAGCAGCACAATTCACACTCGCAAAAACATGAAACCAAACCAAATGCCTATCAGTCAACAAGTGGATAAAGAAACTGTGAATACAGGCCGGGCGCGATGGCTCACGCCTGTAATCCCAGCACTTTGGGAGGCCGAGGCGGGTGAATCACGAGGTCAAGAGATCGAGATCATCCTGGTCAACATGGTGAAACCCCGTCTCTACTAAAAATACAAAAAATTAGCTGGGCATGGTGGCGCGTGCCTGTAATCCCAGCTACTCAGGAGGCTGAGGCAGGAGAATTGCCTGAAGCCAGGAGGCGGAGGTTGCGGTGAGCCGAGATCGCGCCATTGCACTCCAGCCTGGGTAACAAGAGCGGAAAAAAAAAAAAAAAAAAATTTCTAAAAAAAAAAAAAAGGAACTGTGGATTACATATACAATGGAATGCTACTCAGCCATAAAAAGGAATGAATTAATGGCATTCCCAACCTGGTTGGGATTGGAGACCATTGTTCTAAGTGAAGTAACTCAGGAATGGAAAAGTAAACATGGTACTTCTCACTCATAAGTGGGTGCCAGCCTATGAGGATGCAAAGGGGTAAGAATGATACAGTGGACTTTGGGGACTTGGGGGAAAAGGGTAGGAGGAGTGAGGGTTAAAAGGCTACAAACTGAGTTCACTGTATACTGCTCGGGTGATGGGTGCACAAAATCTCACAAATCACCACCAAAGAACTTATGTAACCAAATACTACATGTTCTAAAAAACCTATGAAATTCAAAAAACTAAAAAAAAAAAAAACTTTTAAATTTAAAAATAAATGTATAAAAATCAGCAGAGCCCACACTATTGAGCTGTGGGTTGAAGGACTTCTGGTTCTTTCCAGGCCCATAGGAATTAGACCCCAGGGTATGACAGATTAGCCAAATAAGTATGAAAACTCTATCTGCCATCTCAAACAGAACAGTCTTGGAGAACAGAAACATCTGGCATAAATGGAAAATGCTAGCCAGGTGTTTTAAATGAGTTCATTTTTGAAAACTCAAACTATTTTACTCCGTCCCTCCTTACCCTAAGGCTGAGTTTCTCAACATGGACACTGTTGACTGCATGAGCCGGATAACTCTTAGTTACAAGGGCTGTCCTGGCTTTACAGATGTTTCACAGCATCTCTGGCCCTGCTACCCAGTGGATGCTATTTGCAAACCACATGCCTTTCCCCAGTTGTGGCTTCATTAGTCTTTAGTGATATAAATTGCAAATATTTCCCCCCAGCTTGTCATGTATTTTCTGGCATTGCTTCTGGTGATTTTGGAATATACTTTTTAAATGTAGTCAACTTTAATAATTTTTCTTTTATTATTTCTGGATTTGAGTCATAGAAAAATTTTCTCTATTCACAAGGAGCAATCTTTAGATTGTTTCTGGATTTTGTTTCTGAATACCGAGTCACATTTTCTGGATTTTGAGTCATAGAAAATCTTTCTAATGTTGAGTCATAGTTAGAAAACATAGATTGTTTCTGGACTTTGAGTCATAGTTAGAAAATCTTTCTCTATTCACAAAGAGCAATCAAGAACTGAAAGTCCTTGAACACACAGCTCGATAGTGTTGGCTCTGCTCGTTTTTATACATTTATTTTTAAATTTAAATCTCCATTCACAAAAAGAAATATCTTTAAAAAAAGAATCTCTAGATTATAGAGTTCACCAATATTTTCTTCTACCATCTGTATGGTTTTATTTTTTATATTTAGATTGCTGATCCCTTTAAAGTTTATTCTGGTGTATGGGAAATAGAGATCCAATTTTAACTCACTTTCAAGTGACTTTCATTTTTTTACCTCTGTTTATTGAAAATCCATATTTTCACTAATGTCTTCACATGCCACCTATGTTATTTATCAAATAGCTACATATACTTGGGTCTGATTCTGGACTATTTGGTTCTGTTGATCAGATTATTTCAATTATAGAGGCTTACTCATATGATTTAATATCTTCTACAGTGCATTCTCCTTACTGTTCTTCTGCTTCAAATTTTCCTGGCTGTCCTTGCTGCTTTTTCTCCTATACAAACTTTCTTTTTCCCAGATGGAGTCTCACTCTGTTGCCCAGGCTGGAGCACAGTGGTGCAATCTTGGCTTACTGCAAGGTCCATCTCCTGAGTTCAAGCAATTCTCTTGCCTCAGTACTCCTGAGTAGCTGGGATTACAGGCACATGTTACCACACCCAGCTAATTTTTGTGTTTTTAGTAGAGATGAGGTTTCACCGTGTTGGCCAGCTGGTCTAGAACTCCTGAACTCATGATCTGCCTTCCTTAGCCTCCCAAAGTGCTGGGATTACAGGTGTGAGCCACCGCGCCTGTCCTCTCCCATACAAACTTAAGAGTCAACTTGTCCAGCTCTAAAAAAAAAATCCTGTTGGCGGTGCATGGTGGCTCACACCTGTAGTATCAGCACTTTGGGAGGCCGAGGAGGGTGGATCACTTGAGGTCAGGAGCTCAAGACCAGTCTGGCAATCATGGTGAAACTTCATGTCTACTAAGAATACAAAAATTAGCCAGGCGTGGTGGTGTGCACCTTTAATTCTAGCTGCTTGGGAGTCTAAAGTAGGAGAATTGCTTGAACCCGGAAGGCAAAAGTTGCAGTGAGCTGAGATGGAGCCACTGTACTCCAGCCTGGATGACAGAGTGAGACCCTGTCTAAAAAAAAAAAAAAAAAAAAAAATTGTTTTTTAATAAAATTAAAGTATAGACAAAATTAAAATTCAAATTAAAAAAAAATAAATTTTGTTGGTAATTTTTTTGGAACATATTGAATTTACATATTACTTTGTTATAAACCAACATTTGTACTTTGATTTAGCTGTTCTAGCCAATAACATGCTGGGTCTTTCTATTCATTCAAATATTTTTCCTTTTTCCTTTAAAGTTTTCTTCATGTAAGATTTGCACATTTCTTGTTTAGTTTATTTCTTTTATTTTTTATTTTTTTGAGATGGAGTCTCACTTTGTCACCCAGGCTGGAGTGCAGTGGCATGATCTCAGCCCACTGCAGTCTCTGCCTCCTGAGTTCAAGCGATTCTTCTGCCTCAGCCTCCCGAGTAGCTGGAACTACAGGTGGATGCCACCATGCCCAGCTAATGTTTGTATTTTTAGTAGAGACAGGGTTTCACCATGTTGGTTAGGATGGCCTCAATCTCTTGACCTTGTGATCCACCCACCTCAGCCTCCCAAAATGCTGAGATTCCAGGCATGAGCCACCACGCCCAGACTGTTTAGTTTATTTCTAGTTATTTTATCTCTTTGTTGATATTGTATGTAATCAAGTTTCTACCATTATATTTTCCACTAGCTTTTTTTTGTGGATGAGAAAAGTGTTTTTATGTATTAACTTTATAACCTGCTGCCTTACTGAATTTTCTTACTATTTTTATTTTTTATTGATTCTTTTAAGTCATCTATAGCTATACCGTACCACCTATAAATAGAAATAGTTGTACTTCTTTCTCCAATGTTCGTTTCTCTAAATGTTTTCTCTTGTTTTATTGCATTGGCTGATACCTTCAATAGCGCAAATTGCCTAACCACTTGTGACGTTAGTATCTACA